AGGAAAATATCTTTTAGAATACTAGCAGCAATTAAGATGAAAGAATTTACTATCACTCTGTCTTAAAGTTCAATGAACCTCTTTCCTGCCATCTATAATATTGTACCTCATACAGGGTTTTAAAAATTTCAGATACTGTACTGTTCAACTTTAGAATTGTAATTCCTTATAGCTCTTATTTCTCTGCTGAGATCTCAATCTGTTTACTTATGACCATACTTTATCCTTTAAGTTCTTGAACTCTGTAATAATAATTGCTTAAAAGTCATTGTCTAATTATGATTAGCATGTATAGTGTGGGGGGGTATGGAGAGGGCTGTGCAACACAGAGAAGACAAGTAGTGATTTTACAGCGTCTTACTACACTGATGGAGAGTGACTGTGAAGGGGTATGTGGAGGGGACTTGGTGAAGGGGGGAGCCTAGTAAACATAATGTTCTTCATGTAATTGTAGATTAATGATACCAAAAAAAAAAGTCATTGTCTATTGACTCCAATGTTTGACTCACCTTGTAGTCTGTTTCTATTGACTATTTTTGCCATTCATTCTTGGTCATTTTTTTGTATCTAGTAATTTTTTAATAACATGGTGGTCTACATTGTGGATGCTATATTGTAGAAACAGGGTTCTGTTGTTTTCCATTGAAGAGAGATCTCTGGCAATTTACTTGGGTGACTGGACACTGGAGAAATCAGAATATGTGGACATTTTGTGGAATATTATATAGGGTATGAGTTGACAATGATATTTGGAAGCTTAAAGTTTCATCTTTAAGGTTTTCCTTTTGGAGTGGAGACTTAAGGGTGGCATGTAATAAATGGACTTGTGGCTTAAAGTTCAACTCATAGTGGTTCCACTATATTTGTGGGCCCACTTAGTCCTCAATTTGCAAGTCTCTGAATGTATAATTCAAATTGATATACTTCTCAGGTGGAGTAATCCTCACTTTTGTTCTTTGGACTATATGACAAGAGATGTAACAGTGGAGAAGGCTAAGTAGAAACCTCTGAAACATTCCATGCCCTCCAACTCTCCCTGTCAAGATAGTAAACTAAAAACAATATCATACTCTGTGGGAGAGGGTAGAGGTTAATTCAACAATTAAAGGCCTCAAGGATGCAGGTGTAGTTGTTCCTTTCAATAACTATTTAATTGAGTAAGTTGGCCTTATAGAAACTGGAAAGGTGCTGAAGAATGACTGTAGAGCTGGGCTGGAATTGGTATCATTGTTAGAATAAATGAATAATGCCTCAAATATATGTTATGTGGCTAAAAAAATGAATAAACACATCCTTTCCTATTATAATTTTCAAAGAAAATCATACATAGCTTGTATTCATCTGTATTGGGCAGAAATACTAACTTACAGTGTTGCTTCAGTGCAATATGAATTCTCCCACCCACTGGCACAATATAATCCAAAAATATTGCGGAATATCATGCTGAAAAATTACATTAATGACATCCTACTTATTGGTTCAGATAAAGAGATAGTAACAAGAGACCTTGGTAAGACATTTATATCCCAGAGGGTGGGAGGTAAACTCTATGAAGATTCAGGGACTACTTCAGTGAAGACTTTGGGTGTATACGGGTCAGGAGAATGCCACAATTCTCCTCCAAAGAGGAAAACAAATTCTGGAATCTTGCTCCCCCTACCACAAAGTAGGAAGCACATCTCCTAGTAAGCCTCTTTGGTTCTAGAAGCAATATAGGTATATTTCTCTGGTCTGTATGCTGGGTGACATAGAAGAACTCTGCGTGGAATCTAGAGCATTAGGGGTTGTATAATGGCTTCAAACTGTGGTACAAGCTACCCTGCCACTTGTGTCAAGTGATCTGGCAGGCAGCATCTATGATTTTGGAGGTGTTAGTAGTAAAATGCAGTGTGGAGTTTATGGAAAGCCAAGGAATAAAATCATATGCAGTCCTGGGATTGTGAGGTAAGATATTATAATTCATGGTAGAAAATTATATGCCTATTGAGAAATATTTCCTGTCATGTTACTGCATCCTGGTAGAAACAGAGCAGTTGACCCTGGGGCATTAAATGACCATGCATCTGGAATTGCCCATTATGATTTGAGCTCCACTGGACCTGTTAAGTCACAAAACAAGATGAGCCTAGAATCAGTCCATCATAAGTTGGAAACAGTATACCTGGAACTGAGGCTGAATATGAGTAGAGGCACAAGAAAGCCGCATGAGTGAGTAGATTAGACTTCTTTGCTAACCACCACAGTTGGACAGTTGCACCAGAGTTGTCCATATTCCAGCCTTCATCTACAGCTATATGGGGAGGGGATGTTCATACCACCAGCCAAAGGAGGAGAAAAATAGTTTAGACATGAGTTGGCTTGGTATGCGAGTGTAAGTTGAAAATAGACAGTAGCTGCAATATAGCAACATTCAGAGGTGGCCTTGAGAAAGAGAGAAGAAATACTTCCTCAGTGGGCAGAACTATGAGCCATGTACCTTGCATTTGCTTTGTATGGAATAAGTGATCTGAGGTGAGAATGTGAAGATTTTGGAACAATGACCTGACTCTGTGGAATGATTTAAAAAGCTGGAGTTGAGAGGTCTGAAGGAGAGGCATGTAAATGGATATATGATTGTGGGCATGAGTGGGAAGTTTCTTGAATCTCATGTTAATGCCCATCAGAAAGCATCTAACTTAATATCAAGGAGGCACTGAGATACAAAGTAGACAAAATAACTCATCCAGTTGATCCAGTCTTTGTCATTCATTGCTCTAGAACTGGTAACATAGGCACATGAATGGACTGTCCACAGTGACAGAGGTAGAGGCTACATATAATGGCCCCAAAGCACATACTTCTTACTAAAGTTAATGTAGCTATTATTGCTTCTGGATATCCAGTATCAACAAAGACCAGTGTTAAGCCCTTGATATGTCACTATTCCCTGAGGAGACTGATTGGTCACATGATGGCAAATCAACTACACTGGGCCCCCTCCATCATGGGGAAATCAGCAGTTCATTTTCCAGGGATGGATAGCTAATCCAGGTATTTGTTTTGCCTTTCCTGCCCTCAGAGACTCAGGCAATACCACTATATAAGAACTATGGAATCACATACAGTATAGCATTTGACCAGGAAGCCTACTTTAAAGCAGAGATGTGGGAGAGGGCTCATTATCATAGATCCACTGGTTTTATTATATTCTGCATCATCTAGAAGCAGCTGATCTCAGAGAGTGCTTAAGTGGGCCTTCTAAAGGCATCGCTTATGAACCAGCTTGGAAGCAACACTTTAGAAGGATGTATCCATTTATTGCCATGGCAAATAAAATGTTAAATGTAGGTCAAACTCAAGAGAACCTTGCTAATAACTTTTGTGTGTGACCTTAGAATCATCTTTGACTTCTCCAGCACCTCTCCTGTGTGATAGTCTCCAAGTCCTGTCAGTGCTTCCTCAGTTTGCCTTTCCTCTTGATTCTCACTGCCTCTTTCCTTGTCATATCTTATGTGGACTAAAGCCTTTTAGTTTAGTGGTTTATAACCTTTGTGGCACAATAGAACCACTGATTCAGTATACCCACACATTAGTACTTTTTTGAAGTTCGCAAGGTAATTCTAAAGTGTAGCCAAAGGTGAGAAAAACTGACCTCTCTGCCTCTGGTCTCTATCTTCTCTAAGCCTTCTTTCACAATACTAAATGATCTTTCTAGAACACAAAATTTTAAATATAGCTTTTATGTTTTAAACACTTCTATTAATTTCTGTAGCCAGAAAAATTCCAAACTCTTTAGAATTACATTTAAAGTTTTTAAGCCTCTGTATCTATTCAACATCTTTAGTTTATTATTTTCTCTTACATAGTCCGGGGTTCAGTCAGACTGGAACACACACCATTGCTGGAACATGCCATTCATTGTCATGCCTAATCTGTATCACTGGTTCTCAGGTCTTATTGTGCCTAAGTAAAGTATTGGAAAGAGCTTTTTAAAACTGCACATCCCAAGACCAGGTATTAAATTATGACCCAAAATAGTCCAAAGGAACTTTCTGCTATAAAACAACCACATTCTTGATAAAACAGGTTTCTATGCATTGCTGAAATAAAAGAATTACAAGGGTGCCTGCTATAGGGGAAAAAATCTGTTTACTGAATTGACTGTGGAGTCAGCAAACAGTAAGCAAGAACCATGAGGCTTTAGTCCCTAAAGGCAAATGCCAATATTAGCATTGCCATCAGAAAAGTCTTGAGCAAGCCTCAAGGAAGGATTGAGGAACACAGGCTTTTGCATTAGCCTGTGCAAGAAGAAAGCAGCTTAGGTAGCTTCAGGTTGATAGTCGCCTTGCCTTTAGGGACTAACTTCAAGAAAGGGGACCTGAAACTTAGACTCTTGTATTATAAAGGTATACCAGAAAAAACCTGAAGTGATCTCAGGTTGGTAATACCCATTTAAATAATTAAATGCTAATTTAAGGTATGAAAGAAGACAGGGTTTATTCTGTGAAGAAACTTAGATTTCAACAGTAGAAAGAAAGAAATACAATTAGTTCTACTAGGAGAAGCTGAATGCTCACAACCTGTTTTGGTTTCATAAAGGTATCCAAGATTCTCACAAATTAAGATCAAACAAACATGAGCTCTTAAACAAAGATCCCTAAGCATGCAAGCAAACAAGCCATCATGTGTGAATCGGCGGAAACAACAAATAGCAGATCCATGACCAAGGATTTCCGATATTGATATTCTAAAGCCCAAAACATAAAATTTCTAAAATGAAATGTTTAAGAAAATGAAGAGGCAATTACAAATGTACAAAAGAATAACAAAAACATAAGCAGGTATTTGAAAAGGGACCAAATTTATATTTAGAAAATATAACTTTGAGGCTAAAAAACAAAGGGGCATGTTTAATAGATTAGATTAAGCTGAAGTAAGAATTAGTAGGTGGGAAAATAGATCTGAAGAAATTATCTGGAATGCAGTACAGAAAACAAGAAGATGAAAAATATGAATGATGTGTGCTTGCTTCGGCAGCACATATACTAAAATTAGAACGATACAGAGAAGATTAGCATGGCCCCTGCGCAAGGATGACATGCAAATCCAAAAAAAAATATGAGCGATGTTTCAAATACAGAGGATAGAATGAGACTACATCATATAATTAATTGAAATCTTAGAAAAATAGAGAATGAATGACAGCTAATTTATATGGATAGTATCTGAGAATTCTTCAGAATTGATGACAAATATAAATCTCCCAGATTTCTATCAAGAAAAATAGATAAATTGTGTTCATATAGTGGAATATTACAGTGCAGTAAAAATGAACAACTACACAGAAATGATGACTAGTAACAATGTTGAATTTTAAAAACAAGTAGAAGGTGATGTACATTGTTATTCCTTTCTTATAAAACTCAGTGCAGGAAAACCACAGATATATTGATATAACTCTTTAAAAACTGAAGAGGGTATATCCAGACAATGGAATATAATTTTCAGTGAAAAGAAATGAGTTAAAAAGCCCTGAAGTGTTAAATGTAGGCTAAGCACAAGAAAGTTTTGAGAATAGCTTTTGTGTATGAGCTTGGAATCATCTTTGACTTCTCCCATACCTGTCTTGTGTGATTAGTCTCTAGCTCCTGTCAATGTTTTCATGTTGTATCCAAAAAGTTACTGCCAAATCCAAAATCATCTATGTTTTCTCCTTTGTTTTCTTCTGGGAGTTTTACAGTTTTGCATTTTACATTTGGATCTATGATTCATTTTGAATTAATTTTTGTGAAAGTTCCAAGTCTAGATCAATTTTTTAGAAAATGTGACTATCTAGCTGTTCAGCACCATTTATTGCAAACAGTATCATTTCTTGACCGAACTGCCTTTTCTCCTTTGTCAAATGTCAGTTTAATATATTTGTGTGGGTCTATTTCTAGACTCTCTATCATGTTATATTGATCTACTTGTCTATTCTTTCATAAATACCATATTGTCTTGATCACTATAGTTTTATAGTAAATCCTGAAGTCAGATAATCTCAAACCTCTGACTTTGATCTTCAGTATTGAATTGGCTATTCTAAAGTCTTTTGACTTTCCACACAAACTTTAGAAATACTTGTTGATATCCACAAAATAATTTGCTGGATTTTTGACTTGAGATCATAGATCTATAATATGCAGTTATAGATCAAGTTAGGAAGAACTGACTGATACCTTGACAGTATTGAGTATTCTGACCCATGAAGATGGAATATTTCTCAATTTATTTATTTCCTTTTTCTTTCAACAGCATTTTGTAGTTTTCATCATATAGATCTTTAGCACTTCTTTGGTTTATACTTAAGTGTTTTTGTGGTTTTTTTTGCTGTTAATAAAGGTGATTTGGTTTTAAATTCCAATTAGTCTTTGATTTATGCTCTAATTTTCATTATTTTCCTCAATTTGTTTGAATTAAGTTTGCTTTTCTTTTTCTAGTTTCATTAGGTGGAAGCTTAGATGATTGCAAACTTCTTTTCTAATGCATGCATTCAGTGTTATATATTTCCCTCTAATACTACTTTATCTACATTTAAAAAATTTTGCCAAGTTATATTTTAATTTTAGTTCAGTTTTACTATATTCATGTGTTCTGGGAACTGTGGAGTCTTTTTAAAAAATTCTATTTCTAGAGATGATATGATTTTTCTATGTGGTCCAACCTTTGCTGGGTGTTGAAGAGAAAAAAGTTTAAAAACTTGTATTTTCCTCAAATCTATGAGCTTAATCTATTCCAATATATAATTTAGTTTTTTTAAGTATGTGTTTTATTTATGATTTGTTGAATCAGGTAAATGTTCATTTTTTTTTTTTAGTGAGATCTTGAGGACAAACTTTCCTCTGCATGGTGGAGGCTAAGATTATTAGAAGTAGTACAGCTAGATCCTTCTGATCTGGAGTTCTCTGAAGCTTCTATGGATTGGCTAGGAATGGTTAGTCTATCTCCTCTCTAGATTGGGGCTGACTGAGTCCAGGTAGTACCATTTCTGGGCATTGGTCAGCCTGCGTTACTGAATTCTGCCACTGGTGTAACTCATGATCTTGTGTCTTGTCTTCATCAAGACCCATGATTTCTCCCTGGCCAAACCAAGTCCCACCTTACCTTTTGCTATTGTTGTAGACCTCTCCAATTCCATGTCACATCTTCCATTCATTCCTGATCTATGATGGCCACACCACTGCCTATGTTGTGGGGTTATTCTGAATTTCATCACATTGGTCCACATGTAGGTTTCTAAGTATCAATTTAACTAACTTCTTTGTCCTTATCCAAATGTAATTGTAAGTCTTGAGTACTTTCCATATTATGCAGCAGCTAAAAATGACGTTAAGGCCCCTCCTCAATTTCCGTGCAGTGCTACAAGTTTCTTTGCTGTGGAATTCTCCTATTGGCATAAGGAAAGACTTCAATTTCATTTCTTACCAAATGGGACACTGGGTAGAAACTCCACAGAGTCTGGATGGCTGATAAAATCCATATTTCAGTATTTTGTATGGTAATATTATAAAGGGTATAGTATTCTTAAATTTTTTAACAAGTGTTCTTAGTTCATTTAATTCTGAAGAAGAAAGAAGATCCATGTCTGACCTCCTCCCTAGCCTTGCTGTGTCTTTCTTCTTCTCCCCATAATCCACAAGTGCCAGAAGGGGTAAATCTGTTCACAGTCCCTTTGTCCCTTAAACTCTGTGGCCAAGTGGCAGGCCTGTCCCATGAAAAGTCAAGAGATAAAATAAAAATATTATGAAAAATCTTCTCTATCTCTTAAATCTTGGTTCAAACCTACTTTAAAACTTAAAAATAGCTTTCAAACATATTTTGGAATAAAAATCTTATTTTGGATATCATAGCCAAAAATCTTTTTTTCTCTCTGAATTTTGTTATTATATTTCTTATTTCCTATTCCTCTTTTTCTGTTCATTCCCTTTTCTGCAGATTATTTCCTGGCTCTACTGGAAAGAGATCATTTGCAGAAAAGTACAAAAGAGGAGAACACATTAAAATAATTTTTTAAATATCACTCTCTGTAGTTTAAGTGGAAAAAATAATAAAATTTATGTTCCATGGACGTTATTAGCTCTGAAGTCTACATAGCTAAAGATAGAGGAAAAAGAAATTTTGGTCATGTCACTACTATATTGAAGTCTGAGACCTAGTGATTTTTATTTCTTTAAATAGGCTTAGATCCACTCACTGTGAACCAGCATGCTTTATGCTAGAAAGCAGAAAATCAAAACCTTTCTCTAATTGATTTGTCTTAAAAAAAAAGTACTCTGAAAGTGGAGAAAATCATTTATTAATCAATTTACATAGAATGAAAGAGACGATCCAGTGGTTACATGCACATTCTGGAGATAGAAGGTCTATGGTTGAATCCTATCTCTTCCACTCACAACATGTAAGACAAATTATTTCATCTATTTGTTATATCAGTTTTCTCATCTGAAAAATGAGGGCAACTGAAGAGGACTAAATGAGTCTACGACAAAGTATGCGAAGCACTTAGAACGCAGCCTGCAGATTTTACACATTTATGCACACACACATATACATATTTGCTATGATTATTACTGGTGATATTGTACAAAGGATTTAAGAAAAAATTGTTAATTATGAAAATAAGCTAAAACAAGATAAAGGGATCTTAAATTAAAAAGTGATACTATTAAAGATATGAAACTTCTCTTTAGTCTTTTGATGGATAAGTTTGATTTAGTTTAGCTAGTAGGAAAAAATTAGATTATAAGCTCTTTGGGAATAGAGCTTACCTTTACTTTATTTTAATAATTTAACACACTGTTCAATCACACCACTGTGTACTAAAATAATAGCATTATTTGAAGAGTAGAGCACAGTGACTCAGGCTTTGCAGTTTGCAGGCCTAGGTTTGAATCCCACTTCAATTCTACTATTTAGTTAATCTTGAATAAGTTACTTAACCTCACTCAGACCCATGTTTATCATCTGTACAATAGGAACAGTAAAAGAATCTACTTTGTAGAGTATTTACAGGGATTAGCTGATATATGTAAAATTCCAAGCAAGCACTTGTGCTAGTTAACTACTACACTAATTCTGCTAATGATAAAAATCATAACAGAGTTTATCAGAGAAAACTTAAGTCTATTTTTAAAGATTTCTCTCTAAACTCAGAGCTGGAAGAAGTCTACATAAAAATGAGAAATTATTATACACATATCTACAAATCTAGCAGAAGCCTGCCATACGGTTCTGTGGCTTGTTCATGTAATGTAGACTTCACATGATCTATTTTACCTTTGTGTCACAGAAATGCCCTTATAGACCAGATCAAGTTTTTGTCTTTAGCTTTCTAAAGCAGGAACCTAGCACAGCTGGCATTCTGGGACTCCTTCCATCTTTGGTTTGACTTGATGATTCAGTGAAGTACACACTGTTCTTGCATCAGAAGTAGCAGTGTTAGTTCCTTTATGCCAAATACTTTCACAGGAGCTCAGGCTGAGTTCCCTGGATGATTGCTTATTGCAGAGTCACTGAACCAGCTGGTGGAAAAGTCTCTGTCCATCCCTTTGAGACTGATGCCTTTGGAAACATTCTAAATTGTTCTGCATTTAAAAGTAGCAAGTAATGTGGTACAAAACTACCAGGGAATCTCCATTTGCTCTTCACTGGCTTGTAGGAAGTCCATGGATAGCTCTTTAGCATCCTAGACTTCAGCTAACCATAGGATTTTTCATTCAAGGAACACTTTTGAGAATGAAAGGGGACATAGTCAATAATTAAGTTGGGACAATAGTTGTAAAATTGGGCTGTTCTGAGTAAATAGGGTTGTATAGTCACTCTACTATAGACTACAGTCCCTGATACTATTAATTCCTTCCTACTTCAATTCCAAACCTGATCTGTCCTTCCTCTGCCTGCTGTGTACTTTGGAAGAATGTCTGAGAACAGCCGGTAACTAGTTTTTGTTACAGTATTACATTTGCTACTGCAAGGGAGTATTAATATTTCTCCTTGGTTCTCATCAGCTAGTTCAAAATTTGCCTCATTTCAAAGGCAATACTGCAGATATCTTCCAATAGCTGTTATAATCATTTATTCATTCCACAAGTA